AATTGTGAGATATAAACTCATTCATTCATTCATTCTTTCTTTCTTTCCTGCGGCAGAAACAAGCTTCCCCAAGAAACACCTTTGTGCTTTTTGTCAAATTAGTGCAAAATTACATAATTTGTTGAATGCGTCTTTATTATTAAATGCTTTATTACGTTCACTGGAACATTCTGCTAAATCCTGCAGTATATTATGTTAATTTACAAAGCATGAAGGATAAAACTGGGATCAAATCCATTGCTGTATCAATTGTCACACTGCATGTCCATCTGCATGTACTGTACAGCAAATTTCCCCAGTGGACCGATAGCCCATCAGTTCCCATCCCCCATTTCTCCTCTTTTTCTTTTCTCTTTGTGTTTGTGTTGGGGGACTGGAGTTGCCTAAGGAAGAAGCTGTGATATCACTGTAGGTGACCTTGGTTCCCCATCAGCCACAGCTGTATGGAAACTGGTATGTGCGTATGCATGCATGTGTGAAAACGTGTGTGCATGTGTGCTCAGGCAGAAAGCTGTGCAGTGGCTGTGAAGCAGAACATTAGCTTAACTTTTGAGGTGCATTTGCCTAAAGCCTGAATGAAAGAGCAAACCTGCAGTCTTCGCATGTTTTCTTCTCTTTCCTTGATCTTATCAAGAAGGCTGTAACCTGTGTCATAAATACTTTTAAAACTGACATAAATGCCATGCGTACTGAGCTTAGCAACCACATTGTCAGTGTAAAGAGCAAAACCTCTATTTTCATGTAAGAAATATGACCTGAAAATCATCCAAGTTAACCTATTATGCTACAATATATTAAATGCTGGCAACTGTTTTTATTTTTGTTTAATTATGTTATAGTACCTTAATCCTGCTTAACGTCTTTTTTTGAAAATAATAATACATTTAAAATGAGCAAATAAATAATAGATTACATTTAATCAAATTAATTGCTCAAAACCAGATTTTCCTGAGTAAAAATGCACTCAAAAAAAATCTGTAAAAAACAGGGCACAACTGTATTAATATGAAGGATTTTTTTTTCATATTGAGTGTTTTACTTGTTGTTTGTATTTATGCTTGGTGTTTGTAATGTCCATCCTGCCAGAAGTATTTTTTTTTTTTTTACAGTGCGCATGGCTTTTTAATGACCCCCAGATGACAAAATTAAAAAAGTACAAGAGACAGGGTCGTGGGTGTCATCTGTAAAGGACCCCAGGCTGTGTCTAAAGTGTATGTCCTGACATGTCACATTTGGATCTGGCAGGGGCATGAACAAACTCATTTTGGCTCAAAGAAACTGTTTCTCACTCTGGCTGCAGAACATGGAACAGATGCAGGATGAAATACAAATAAAAATACATGACTAGCTAAGTTTGCACAATTGTATGTTATCTGCTTTCACATATATTGGATATTTATTTTATCCTAATTTATGAGCCACATTGTCCCACGTTCTCTATTTGCTATTTAAAAATAGTTTTTAATTGCTTCAGCCATTTAGGCCTTCTCAAACCGCAATGCTGTCTAAATCTGCCATGAATGCTTTGATTGCCTTTGTGATTTATTATGCTGGTATGAGATGGTCATTGAACAGTGAAAGTCACGCAGTAACCAGCAGCTTCTGCTTTTGAATTCTAGATGCCTGTTTACCCAGAATTCCTGTAGAGAATGTAAATGAGCTGATGGGAATTTGAATGTAGCTATGAGACTAAGAGTGGAATAAGAAAGGAAGAATAGAATGTGCAATCCACAGGAGATTTTTCTTCAAGGCATTCACCAGAATCTCAGAATAGAGAAGTAGGCTTAGAACTCAGATTGAGCCTTTTAGCTGTAATAAAGGAATCTATTGTATGATTGGGTTGGTATAAATAAGAACCTTCTATTATTATATTTAACATGGTGGATTTGTATTGCTAAGTTTTCTGGTTTAGACTGAACTGAACATGAACAAACCCAAATATCATCTTTTAAAAGTAATGCCTAAGCCTTTTTATTTTTGGAAAAATCGTATTTCTTTATGTTTTAAGATATGCAGTTTCGATATTCAATATAAGATATTCCATTTCAGTTCTTTTAGTAGGCCAGACATCAAAGATTCACTAAATTATTTTTTAGCTGTTCTGATGAATTTTAATTTAAAAAGAAAATTCACTGAGAAAAGAAAATTCTGCCATCATCTACTCATACAAATTCATGACTTTAAGAATATACAATTAAGCTCGAAAATATGAAAATTGCAAGCTGAGACAAATCTTGCGGTCAGACTAAAACTTCTGCATAGAAACCAGTGAAGAATCCAGATGTTCATATTCAGATAAAAGCATGGATACACAGATAAAAGCATCTGCTATAGCGCATAAATGTAAATGTAAAATTTGAGCTTGTGATTTTGCAACGCTCTTGCCATTTGTGTGTGCAATATGTGTCAGACAGTTGAACAGTCTATCTGAGACCACAGCAGCAACAGCTGGTCAGTTGCAAACAGCTTTGTGCTCTTAATATGTCCTCAAATGAATCCTCAAGACATTTGTCCCTTCCCCATTCAGATAGTTGTCTGTGGTCTGCCTTTTAAATGGTCACACCATTTATTCAAACAGAAGCATCGGTGTCGAAAATGGCAAGAAATAAAGTCCACATATATCAGGTGCCTATACCGTATGTGAGAACTAGCACACTATGGGGAGATTGAAAAATACATTTTATTTATAGGCCACACACAATTTATTCTTGTCCTCACACCATTTATTCTTCTGTCATACTTTTGCCTACATTATACACCTCACAAGTTTGGAGCACAGATTCTCAAACCTTGTTTAAGTGAGGTTGTGAAGCTTGTTGAGTGAACGCTCACACGTTTTCAGAGTGTGACAGCTCATGTAACACTGGCCTAAGTCTGGATTGGCTTGTTACCAGACATGGTGACCTGAAAATGAGATTTGATGCTGAGTGACTCTACAGACACAGGAAGTGAGTGGAGCGATTTTCACTCGTTCATGTAAACCCAAGTATAAAGCAATCTTTCAAGCATTTATGGTTTAATAAACCATGTAGACAAGAAACACTAATGACAGAATACCGTTCATAGAGATAATTACATCAATAATGAATGGATGTCATGAAATAAACAACGCTGAGCAGAATGAACAAAATCAATTGGGCATGTTTATGGGTCTATTGGGTCTATTATGTCACAATATGAATCATTTTCCTTTAGAATTTTAATTTGACTTGAAAAGGTGTGTGGCATATTTGCTGTTTTGCAAAGGATCTCAAAGTCAAGTTTAGCCTAAGGCCACATCCTCTTTAGTGACATCCTGATGATCTGCTCCCCACACAGCCTGGCATCACTTCAAATCATAATCAAAATTCACTCGAAGGTCAATGGCTTTTTCAGAGTAAAGCAGTATGTTTTCTTTAGAACCTTTTCAAGGTAAACATTTACATATGAAAATGCAGGCCATGCATTCGTTTTTAAACCTGTTATCAGATATGAAAAGTACTTAATTTATAGACCCACGATGAAAAAAAACATGTTCAATAAAAAAAGCAACAACAACAACAACAAACAACCTTGCAGCAGTAGTTCCCAGAAATTCACCATAAAAATACAGTGATGATGACAGGAGGCTAAAAAAATGAAATTGCAAAATAACTGCAACAGGGTGATCAGCAAATAAATAAATAGGTGAACATATTGATTTATTAAATTAAATATTGATTTGAATTGATTTTTAATTATCTTACCTAAATATTATCTTAAATCTTCTGCTAATCAATAGTCCACTTCAATGAAAAACAACAACAACAACAAATCAAAAGAAAAGGGAGATATAGGCCTGCAATACGCACACTTGCAATCTTTGCACTTTGTTTACTTACATGTATTTCCTTTATTTGGCCCAAGTGTTCAAGTGGGTATGGCCGCAACCATGTGTAAAAAATTGTATTACTCAGTGGGACACACTTCTATAACATAGTGGTGTAAAAAAATTTAGTACAATTTTTACAGAGATTTATCTACACATTTTGATTGTCAATACTTTGCCCTTAAAAAATAACAAAACAAACAAAAAAAGAATCTAAATATAATCTCCCAGGGCCTGAGCATTGGAATTTTTTCAGACCAGGGACAGTCTTGCACACTCACTTCATGCCAAATGGCCACTAATGCAATTGTGGGTATTAGAACAAGCCCACTAACATTTATTTGCAAAAATGTTACTAAAACCCATTTGTGTATAGCTAACTTACCCTATACTGATAATGACTACATGCAGCTGATAACTGGACTTTCAATGAATAATGACTTATTAAATGTGTAGCAGACGGAGGTACCCATGCAAAAATAAAAACACCATCAACACGTGAGACTAAAATAATGCTAATGCCATTTTCACTAAAGAAAGCAAAATTATGGATTGAAGACTCCTATTTAAACTGGTTTAACAGTTTGAAACGAAAAAAATGTCTTTGATGGATTTATATATATATATATATTTTTAAACAAACTTTTCACTTCACAACACAGCTTTCATCAGCTGTATGAGCTCTCATTCTGACGGCACCCATTCACTGCAGAGGATCCATTGGTGAGCAAGAGATGTGTTACATTTCCTCAAATTTGTTCCAATAAAGAAACAAACTAACCTGCATCTTGGATGTCTTGAGCATGATACATTTTATGGGTTAACTATTCCTTTAACTATGAACTACAAATAACATACAATGTGGCATAAAACAGGTGCACGACGATTTAAAAGACGTAATTGTACCGTTTTTCTTTAAGTGACTCGTATTTACTTAATAAAGCATAATTGTAACTAAAACAAACAAACAAAAAACAAACATCTGTTGCCTTGTTGAATGTTGACTTAATTCACGTTCATCTTTCAGTTTCATATTATCTTTGCGCTTTCTCATTTGTGCACTATTGTCTTATTATCTATCCCAACTTGTATAGCCACTACTGCAGGAAAAAACTACTCCAGCCATCCAGCCAATGGAGGACGGCGGGGCGGAGAACGCTCTGCAATTGAACTGAAGGACCGCAGGCAGCTGTACACGAGCATCCTCTATTCTCCACACGCGCCCACATCACACAGTCAATGGATTACACCTTCTCTCTCCAAGTGCAACACCATCTGACCGTCTACCCAACGCACTTATACGAGGACTACAGCTTAGAGTTACAGGTATGTTGATGATAAAAACGAAGTCAAAGTCTCTGCTAGTTTGTTTAGCGGTGATGAGCGCGGCTCCAAACTAACCCTTCAGTCGACACTGTTGGAGATACTTGGCAAACGCACGAGCAACATTAGAAAACCGGATTATATGGTGGTGTTGTACTTTCTCAGATTTGATGCTGCTGTGACGTGCGAAAAGCCCGTTTTAGCGCGAGCGATGAATGTTGAACGCGTGCTGTGATGTTTACATGATAAGGGACACAGGAACTCTAATTCCATTTCATAGTATCACACTTGGTGTTTAATTTGAGAGACCTCAACAGTAACATTTTCGTGTGATCTTTGTTGATCCAAGAAGCAATGATGACCCCGAAAAAGGTACATTTCGGTGGCACGAGGCACTGTTGACAGATTGCTCTCGGGTTTCGTCAATCTCACAGCTGTTTCATTTACTGCAAACGATCAATTATGTATCACTGTACAGTCCTGAGAACCTGTATTTACCTGTAACATATGTGAGAACCTGTATTTATTTGTGTCAATTTTCAGTCAAATGCGCTTTGGTCGTCGTTTTCACCTGTTGTGATCTGTGTAATTTCCTGAGACAGTAGTGCTAACCCTTGAACATATTAGGATTTAGTGTAGTGCCCTGGGCAATTGATGAATTATTACCTGTCATATCTAGCCACAGGAACGACCGTTTGATTTAGACTTATAATATGAAATTTGCAGTCCTATGTACCAGGAAACAAAATTTAGCAAAGTAAGTTAGATTAGTATCACGAGTATTATTTATTTTCAGAATTCTTGTTGACTGAATGATCTTGCTTAAGTAGGTTTTCTCTACATTTAGGGTACATGTTGTTCTGTACAGTGCATTGAATAAACAAAGAAAAGAAGCGGAATGTTTCATAAATACATTTTTACAGTCTTTGTAAGTTTAGTGGACACTCTCCATAAAATCACTATGCCCACATAAGTAATCAAAGTTATTTTAATGCATGTTTTTTCATAATGCATTTTGCAATATTAACCCTGTTATTTTCCTGTTCATTACTATGAAGCTGCTTTGAAACTGTTTGCATTGTATAAAGCATTATATAAATAAATGTGACTTGACTTGCTTTGAGGAACTGAAGAGCAACCGTTTGTACTCATTTTATTTTTCTAATCATTGTTATTAACATAATAATACATATGCAATCATTTTCCTTTTTTTTATTATAACATAAGTATTTAACCATTTGTTTAAGCAGCACCTGAAACTTATAGGGACAGACTCGTTTTAAATGCTTAAACGTTAAGCCTTTGAAATGAGTCTGCCCCTTTAAAGTTTCTCCTCCAGGTGCTGCTTAGATCATCTTTGTGCGGAACAATGGTAGTTTTAATATTCTCTTTCATATTCCTTGGAATGCAAATACATGACACAAAAGCAGATGTCTTTTTTTGTAATAAGTGGCTTACCTCTTTAACCCTGGATATGTACTTTGTCCACCCAAGACTTCAGATGACATTTGCTGTAGTTGGTGAAGAGCCAAATATCATTCTTTTAGTTTAAACTTGTCTATTTGTCTATATTAAATTCTAGAATTATCATTTAGGAGTATAGATGAAAAATACATGATAAGTTTTTATTTTTAGCCATTCATTAGTGTACCGTCTAACAAGCTGGGCTAATAAACAGTTGTTAGGAGAGAGCAGAGTGAGAGTAAGATGTTAATTATTAATGTTTCCTTGACACTGTTTTTCTTGTGCAGAGAAAAGAGGCTCATCTTTAATTTCTATTATTATGGCGTGTTTATGAATTAAGATTCTCTGCCTGCTAGCTAGCCAGTGGAAAACCGTACAACGAGAGAAAGGAATGCTAGATATAACAGCATCACTGTTCATTCATTATAGATGCATCATGGTCTGAACTGTCCCGCTGTAGTGTGGTTTTCAGTGATAAGGGAGTAGAACAACTTCAAAGTTTGCTCATTTGAACATTATTTCCTGTCAACATTCACACGCGAGCCTCCCTGCCTCATGCCATGTTTTTAAAAATTAAGCCATTTTCTCAGTATTAGGGGCAGTGAAATTGGTTGGTATGTTTAAATTGTCAGAGGAAATCATCCGTGCACCACAAGGTGGCTCTGTTAGTGTAGACTCACCTCAGAATTACCTCTGGTTGGATCCTGACTCCACTGACTCCTGTGAAAGGCCTGCCATATTACAGTTGCACTTTCTGTTGAGGTTCATCTTTGTGGACTGTCCTATTCACATCAGAATTTGTGATAAAATCGCAATAATTGAGATTTCAAAAGAGCTGATGTTCAGATCATGCTGTATATAGCACATATCTTTTATAATAAAGAGCAGCTGAACTCTTTTAGACATACTTTTTTATTCTCTTATTCTAACATAAAAAGAAAAGACAAAAGTGCCATCTCCATAACCACAGCATCATAATTCGTCTCTCAGGACTTCTGAGGCAGAAGTGACAGCCCATTGCCTTTCCAAAACTGTGTTTCCATTGGGAGGGACAAAGCCCACACTTATGGAGAGGAACATGCCTTGCCAAAGCCCAGGGATATGATATGATATTATCTTTCACTATCTCCATTTCTGCTCACAGGAATTAAGTAGTAAAGCTGAGGTTTCGACTCCCAGGCCAGCAATATTTCTACAGCAAGACTTACAGCAATACTAGCAATCGTCAATGCACCATGAATACATATGCTGACTGAAAACCTCCTAAAATGGCAGACATGTTTTTATTTATTGAAAATATGGTGTTATCCAGTCATTTATTTGATAAAGTAAGGTTGAAAAATTCAGTTGTTGTCTTACATCAAATCTTATTATATTATTTATCAGCAGTATAAGGGTTATTAGCTTTGAAGGAGTGAGGAAGGTTGATTCTCTGTGTCCTTTATTTGAACCCTTCCTTCATTTTATCAGATGTTGTTGGAGTCCGTGGGGTCCTAGTGTGATGAAGAAAATGAGTTTTCTAATTTAATCAAATTTATAATAAGTGGTCCACATAAAAAGCCCTATTCTAGTGTAAGACATGTTTGTCGTGTGGTTTCACACTGAGGGTGTATATTGTAAACAGAAAGCACCCTGCAGATATTAAAGGTGCAAAGGTAGCTCCAAATTAAATGGCACATTTCATAACCGATGGCGACGTTCAAGGTCGATTTTTGTGTTTACACCCAGTGAATGCATTGTCGGTTTGAGAACCTTGTAGTACATGTTCTGAACTCTTTTCCAGTGAATAAGTAAGTATTGCAAAACATGATTTGTGTACAATTAAATCAAAAAGTTAAATTTTTACCTTGCTATGTCCTCTTGCTTTGGCCTAGGCTGATTCATAATTCAGGTATGAAAGAGCCGAGTACTCTTCCACCTCAGTTACATTACAGCATTGGAATTGTGTTTCCATATTATGTTGTGGAAACTGGATAAAGATTCAGGTTTATACTGATGTATACTTTTCCAGGTTTTAAGAGTTATAATCAGGTCCCTGGTGCATCTACCAACCAAGGAAACGTGAAAAAGATGAACCCAGTAACTTTGTTTTGGTAAGCCTTTTTCTGCAAGCGTCTGAGAAAACCAGCGCGTCTGATTTCGCTCCCTTGGAGACATGGCAAAGGGATCTCATTATAATATTACCGCCCCTTAATCCGTAAGCTTCCACTCAAGGTGCCGTCATTTTGATTTCGCAAGCGACAACGGTGTACCAGTTCTAATGCCATGGCGAAAGTTTGAGCAAAACATGCTAACTGTTCTGTCTTTGGCTGCACAGACGAGCACAGAACACTATTTAGAATCCCAGCCTCAGAGGAGACGAGATCAGTGGATTTATTGATTTATTTACTGTATATTGCTGCCGCCACACAGATCTAAAATAAACAAGCGATTTATTTCCCAGCTGTTTACCTTCACAGACATAACCAACTGTTTTTGTAACTCATGTGTGTTTTTAACTTAAACTTGTGTGTGAATGAGAACTTAGTTTAGTACTCACATGCTGTGACAGCAGCTTTCTGTCCATGTGCTTCAGATGTGTGCACTCAGAAAACCTTATATCTGAAGTTTAAACTCGTATGGTTTAAAACGCATGATTTCAGCGCGATAAACATGATAATCAGAACCAAAACAGATGTTTTTAGCAGATAGGAGCTGTAAAGGCTATTCTGGAAAAGGAGGCGGGGAGCAGCAGCTCATTTGCATTTAAAGACACAGGCCCGAAAAACAGCTTGTTTCCACTCAAAATAGGCATTTTGAAAATTATATAATAAATTATCTGTGGAGTATTTTGAGCTGAAACTTCACAGACACAATCTGGGGACACCAGAGACTTGTATTACATATTGTAAAAAGGGGTATAATATGTCACCTTTAAAAAAATTGACGTTTAATTCAGTGTGTTACTTGCCATTTCTTTGTAATTGTTGAAATGTTCTCAATTTCCATGTGATAATTGTTTCTACACCAATTTTTTTTTATGCTTCTGGAAGATGCTTCATATTCATACATATCCGGCTGCCTGAGGTGAAGCATGACTGTGTGACAAACAAAATGTTTGTGTTCAGGATTCAAGTAGATCAACTGATGATTGCTGTTCTCATAAATACCTCATAAGCTATATATATATATATATATATATATATATATATATATATATATATATATATAACCTCTCTCTGTACTCCATG